GTGCATGTGCGCACAGAAGTATGTTTGTGCATGACTAAGGTTTGAGTTTGTGTAAAAAGGTGTGTATACGATGTGAGTATGCACACATGCTCCTGTGTGTGCACATGTGTGCGTGAGAGTGTGTGTGTGTGCACACGTGTGAGAGAGATATAAGGCTGTGAGTTGATGTGAGAAGGTGTGTGTACATACATGCATAGAAGTGTACGTGTATGCAGGAGAATGCGTGTGACAATGTGTGTGTGTAAGGCTATGCAAGTGTGACCATGGACGTGTGGAGGGGGGATGTACGTGCCTGGCAGTGTGTACCTGTGTGTGGGAGAATTTGTGTATGACCCTGTGTGTCCAGGTTCCTGTGTGTGTATGTATGTGCGTGGAGTTTACATGTTATATGTGTGTGTGTGTGTGTTAATCCACGTGTGCCCTCTGGCTCCTGTGAGCCCTGCAGGCCCGAGCCCTGGCTAGATGCAGGACACAGGGCATCCAGGCAGCCCTCTGAGCCTGCTGTGGGCCCCCAGGGCCTGCGCAACGCTGGCCTCCTGACAGGCTCACCACTGTGCCCGCCACCATTTCAACTACTCAGAGGACACTTGAGACTTTGTAGTGCTGCTCTGCCCTTGACCCCGGCGATGCCTCTGGGAGCTTCTCCTGGGGACTGTGGAGGAAACGAGGTCAGGAAGAAGGGCCAAGAGGAGGGGCACAGCTGGGTGGGTGGTCAGGGCGGCCCTCCTGGAGGAGGTATCATCAGGGCAGAACGGGGGCAGGGCAGGGGCGGGAGGCGGACTGAGGTGGAGAGCGCTGGCCTCTGCAGGATGAGTGAGGCAGGTCACCGGGAGTGCTCAGCGGTACGGAGGGGCTGGCAGGCTCCACGGGCCTGGAGGAGGAGTGGACGTCAGCAGGGCCCGGCCCCGAATTCCCCCCAGTCTCAGGCAGACTTTGAGGACAGCTGTCACTGTTCACTGGTGTTCCATGAGCTCAGCTGGTGCTCCTCCCGGGGAGAGGCACCCTGGGTTCCCACACTGCTCAGCCAGCAGCACCCATGTGGGAGGAAAGGTCAGAGTGGATAGGGTCAGGGGTCCATGATCAAAGGGGGTGGGATCTGGGAGGTGCCCTGGGCCGCTTGCTCACCCTGCAGCTTCCCTCTCTCGCTGGGCAGCTGGGTGGCCAAGGCCCAAGCCTCCTCCCTGCTCACACTGTCTTCTGGGCCTGGGAGTGGAGGTGGCAGTGAAGAGGGGCCTCCCTGGGGTTCAGGCCTGGACTGGGGGATCAACAGTGGGCATCTCCACCAGGTGCCCCCTCTGGGCCCATGTGGCCAAGGAGGGTTGAGGAAGGGACAGCAGGCCATCAGGATAACAGTGCCCACATCCCCTAAGGAGTGTGGCCTCCTCAGATCACGGCAGATACACATACACCGATACACACAGACAGAGATACAGGCAAGTGTCCCCACAAGAGACAGAGACGCACACAGAGACACAGACCCACAGGGACAGATCAAGAGCCCTGCACACACACACACACACACGGGCTCACACAGGTGCACACACATGGGCTCATGCAGGTGCACTTACACACAGGCTCTCATAGATTTACACACAGATACACACACACACATAGGCTCATGGACACACAGGGTCACACAGGTATATACACACAAGCCCATACAGGTATACACACTTGCTCACACATGGGCTCATGGACACACAGGCTGACACAGGTATACACACACACATACTGGCCCACACAGGTACACACAGGCCCCAGCACAGGTCCGAGAGCTGGCTTCCTGTCCTCAGGGCCCTCCCCCAGCCCAGGAACACCAAGCTGACCTCTGCCTGGGTGGCCCTCGGCCAGCCTCCACTCCAGGCCTCCAGCCGGGAAAGGAGGTGTCCTGAGAGGCCCTTGCAGCTGCACTGCGTGTCCCTGGGGGGTGAGGGGGCGCTATGCACCAGGGATGGGTGCCACCAGGGGCCTTCCGGGCTCCCAGCACAGTGAAGCCCCCAGGGAAGAAGCTGCCCACCTACTGCCTTCTAGACAGGCCCCTCGCCTCTTGGAGACTTGTGTGGGGGGTGGAGCCCAGGGTTATAGGAATGCTGGGGCCAGGGGGCCGGGGGGAGCTGAATAGGTAAGCTGGTATGGTCATCACCATCATCTTCATCCTCCTCATCATCATTGCAGCCTGATCACCGACTCCCCTCACCCGGTGTCTCTGGCAGAGAGCTGGGAAGAAGACCCTACCCTCCGGCTGGGGACCAGAGGCCCTGGTACACTTGCCGGCATTGTGGCCACTCAACCATCCAAAAATGCCAACCACCAAGAAACTGGGCCAGAGGAGAGGAGGGGGGGAGGGGAGCCCTCAACCCCTGACCCCCAGCACTGACCTGGGGACCCCCCCACCCCACCTGTCCTCCCGTGTGAAGGCCCACACTCTCCCAAGACCGCGCGCGCACCCCCCACACCCCCACACGCAGCCCACGGCCCCTGTGGCAGCACTGCGTTGGACCAGCAACCGGCCCAGCCTCTGCGTCATGGTCCCATGGCCAAAACCAGGCCCACGTCCAGAGGGGTGATGGGCAACCGCAGCGAGATCGCCAGCCCCCGCCTGGGTGCCAGGGCCCCTGCCCCCCACCGGCTGCCTGGCCTCGGGCGAGGCAAAGGGCAGGCTGCATTGGCCACATCTATGAAGCGGAGACGGTGGTGCCCACCGGCCAGCGGTCAGTGGATGCCGGAGACGACCCGCGCACGGCTCCCGCCTCCAGGAGCTGAGCCTGGTCGCGCGCGCCCTCCTCTCTCGGGACCTGGGGACCCTCCTGCAGGCGGGGAAGGCGCCGCCCACGCCAACCGCGGCGACAGCGCTGCGCCCGGGCGCCACCGTGTGGTCCGCCTCGGATCTGCACCGCGCCGCCTCCCCCGCCGAGCCCCTTGGTCCTCCGGGCTCCCTCATCAACCAGAAGATACCAACCAACAGAGGGGCCACCGTCAGTAAATCATACCAGCTGACAGGTCTCCAGCGGTGAGGGTGACCGACTGTGCTGGGGGCATCCACCAACACTAGGGAGTGGGTCTTGTTCTTTATCCGTCCTCACAGAGAGGAAACCGAGGCCAAGCCCCCTACCCAACAGGGCTCTTAGATGGGCAGTGAAGGAGGGGGAGGAGGCCCTGTCCTGTGGGGTCTGGTACCAGGAGAGAAGGGCTGAGAAGGTACGGGGGTGGGGCACGGCGGCCCGGGTCAAGGGACAGGGCAGAGCTGGTTGCAGAGCCTTGGGTCTAACCCCATTCATCCTGCTGGCTCAGATCATGTCAGAAGGGACTGGTCCCTGGAGAAGGATGGCATGCTTGGTAAAGCGGAGGGTCAGAGAAAAAGGGAAGGCCCTCAACGAGACGGACTGGCACAGTGGCTGCAACGATGGGCTGAGGTTCAGCCAGGATCGTGAGGTTGGCATAGGACCAGGCAGTGTTTTGTTCTGTTGTACACAGGGTCACTGTGAGTCGGAATTGACCCGACAGCACCTAACAACATCCTGCTGGCTGCTTGGGGCTTCTTAGGGGCTTACAAAGTCCCAGTTTTGGGGCCCCCAGCCCTGAAAGGCTACTTGAACCCCACTGTTGGAGAAGGGGGCTTAAGAGGGCCAGGAGGTAGCTGGGCCCCACAGGCTGCAGTGATGGAGCGGGGGAAGGGGTCTAGGGCCTACTGTCCCCACCCCACACACACACTCACCGTGCCAGCTCCCTGGTTTCTAGCACCCAGAGGGCTAGACCCAGGCCTGAAACTCAATGCCTGATGGCTGTCTGCCCATCAGCGAGGGGGAAGTGTAGCTAAGCGGCCAGGATGGTGATGGATGGGGACGGATGGCCTCCAGGTGCTAGGTGGTGCCCTGAGCACTGAGGCCTGGTGGCCTCCAGCCTTTTAGATGAGCAGTGAAGGAGGTGGCCAGTGTGAGGACTCTGGTGAGGGGACACGAGGGGTGAGTGGGCGTGGTGGGGGGTGCAGCAGGCCAGACGGGCAGCAGGGCAGGCCTGAGGAGGAAACAGTGGCATCTGGGGGACTGTAGGCGGGGGCTGTGCAAGGCAGCGTCTCCTGGACATACAGTTAAGGCCCCCAAAGTCAGGGAACTGGAAACCGCTGTGAGGAGCACCACTTGCTGAGGGCCGGCCGGTCCCTGGGTGGTGGAGCAAGAGTCTGGGGGAGCGGGAGGTCGGTCCTTCTGCAAGGAACTGGAAGCTGCAGGAGTGTCCCCGAAGCCGGGCCGTCTGCCTGGGCTGGTGGGGAAGCTGGGTCCGTCTCTTCCACCCACAGGCTCTGCCTGCCCAAGCGTCCACAGAGCCTCCGTTTCCCACCTGCTGAATGGGATGCACCCTGGGACTGTCAGGACCGTGGCAAGGACCAGATCCGATGATGTGACCCAGGCTCCCACTCAAGGGGGGGAGGGGCCCACCCAGACCCCGGTGGGGGCTGGTTCTTCTCTGCCTGGTATGAGCATCCACATCCTGCAGGGCCCTAGGGTGGGGCCAGAGGCCAGGGGCCGTGATCACCCCACACTATGCCAAGAGGGTGACCATCTCACTGGGGACCAACTGGAGGAGGGCCAGCAGCTCCTTGGGGGTGCCCTGGCCAGAGGCCATGTCTGCCTCCTCAGCTCCAAGCTGCTCCCCACGAGAGGGCCCCGTGATCCAGCCCCTGTGGGCCACCTGCTTGGCCACCTGGGGCCTCACTGCTCTTGTCCAGACCAGCCTTAGACCCCACGCACAGAACCGGTCACCCTCCTGTCATCCCAGCCCTGCAGCCTGCCCATGCGCCCAACCCTGTGTGCACATTTGGCAACGCAGGTGCCTTCCGGCAACCAGGGCGGCCCACTGTCTTGTGGTGAGCACTCCCCAGGCATCTGTGAGCCCACACAGCTGGGCCAGTCCTCGAGAGACCTGCCTCAGCAGCCCCCTCGCCCCCATCCAGAGAGGAGTGAACTGGGGCTGCAGCGCCACGACCCGGTCTGGCCCTTCATTCATGCAGTCAACACACATTTATTGAGCACTGACTCTGTGCCGGGCCCGGGGTAGGCCCCGGGGGCTCAGAGATGAATCACACGCAGACCCCACCCTCAAGGCCCTCACAGCCGGCCAGGGCGGTTGGTCATGTCCACGGACGCTCGCAATACAGTGTGGTCAGTGTGGTGTTAGAGGTAGCACAGGTGACGGAGGGAGCACAGAGGAGGGGCCCCGGCCCGGCCGGGGATGGCAGGGAGGGCTTCCTGGAGGAGGCGACACCTGAAGAAGGCTTCAGGGAGTGAGCAAGAGTTAGGGTGTCTCGGCAGAGAGGGGGCCTGTACAGAGGTTCCGGGAGGGAGCTAGGAGGGTGCTGGTCAGTAGGTGGTGAGGAGCACTGAGGGGGTGAAGCAGACGGCAGTTGGCAGAGGGCCCACTGGGAGCCAGAGTGGAGTGTGCCCCGAGGCCAGGGGCAGGGGGTGCTGGGGGCACGGGGGGTGGCGGAGGAGGGCTGTGGCCCTGGCCCAGGAGTCGGATCCTGCCGGCAGCCCCAGGGCGGGCGCCCTCAGCAGGGCGGGGGTGGGGGCGCGGGCTGCCAGCCGCGAGGCCACAGGGTGCAGAGCACGGGGTCGAGCGGCTTGAGCGTGGCCTGCTCCTGCAGCCCGAAGCGCTGCCCCGGCACCAGCCGGAACTCAAGCCTCTGCAACAGCTTGGCCATGACCACCTTCACCTCCATCTGCGCACAAGGGCCGAGGCGGGGCTCAGTGGGCACCCGGCCCGGGAGAGGGGGCAGGGGTGACCGCCATGCTCCTCAGCCACCCCTCCACCCGGAACACAGCCAGGCCGGGGCTGGCTTAGCTGAGCCCCCTGCCGCCAGCCCAGGGAGCCTTAGGACAGGCCACCCCATGGCCGTGACTTCTGGCCAAGTGGCCCTCCAGCCCAGCCCCTCCTACCTGAGCAAACTGCTGCCCAATGCAGGAGCGGGGCCCCAGAGAGAAGGGGAAGTAAGTGAACCGAGGCCTGTGGAGAGAGACGGGGTAGGAAGCAGGCCGCCGGGCCCCCAGCAGCAGACACTGCTCTGGGGCCGGACGACGGTAATGGCAAGCCTTCCCTTGCTGATGACCGGCTTTGGGCCGGGGGCTGGGTGCTTTGCACCCCCTAAAAAATCAGTACAGCCCCCGGATGGTGCTGTTTGTGCTCGGCTGCTAACCCAAAGGCTGACGGTTCAAACTCAGCCAGAGGTGACCTGCTTTAGTTTAACACTGGAACTGAGAAAACCCTAGGGAGCAGTCGGACGCTGCACACAGGGGTCTCCAGGAGGGGAACCAACTCGATGGAACAGCAGGTCAGTGCCAGCTCTGCAGAGCTCCCCACATCCTCCTCTGGGCCCTGCCACGTCACTGACGAGGGGACCGGGGCTCACAGAGCTGCGGCGATGGCCCACGGTGACGCGTTACTCACTCACCGGATTGGCGGCATGGCCAGCTCTGGGCAGAGCCTGGATGTGGACCCACTGCTTCACTGTGTGGACACTGTGACTCCCACAACAGCTCTGAGGTGGCGCCATTAGGATCCCCATTTCCCAGCTAGGAACATTGAGGCTGGGAGAGGGATGGTCACCTGTATAAGGTGCTGGTTGAGTGTGGGCTTTGGAACCAGGCTGAGCTGAACTCTGAACTGAGCCACTTACTGGCTGTGCAGCCTTGGGCAAGTGACCTAACCTTTCGGAGCTGTGATGCCTCCTAGTAAAATCACAGCCCCTTCACGGGGATCTGGGGCCCCGTGTGGTCAGTGGGTGCAGGTGGCTCAGAGAAAAGGTGGCTGTGGCCGTCCTTGTCCTTCCAGGACCCTCTTGGGGACAGCTCCAGGAGGGACTTACTTGGGTGCTCCGGGGCCGAAGCGATCAGGGTTGAAGGTCAGTGGATCCTCAAAGTACGTGTCCATCCGCCCCATGACGTAGGTGCTGAACTGTTAGGCAAAGTCCACTTGTCTCTGGTTCTAACCCTGGGGGCTCCTCACACACACACACCCACTGTAGCCACTGAGCTCCGATGGGGTGGCTCAGAACAGAGTGGCCACTCCCACTCCACCCACCTGCCTCTCCACCCACCCAGCTCTCCAGGCCAGAGCGGGATTCCACTGGGCCCTAGAAGTCTGTAAGAGGAGGAAAGGCGTACTCAAAGTACCAGTGTGTCCACTGATGGCTGCCACACCAACCATCCCCATTTACAGATGAGGAAGCTGACGCTCAGTGGGAGGGTCAGTGATTGCCGCAGGTCACTGGCAAGCAAGGCGCAGATTCCGGCCTAACTCAGGCAGGCTTCAGATTCCAGAAAACTTGTTACTCAAAGGTTTCTCTCCGAGCCCAGCCTTGCTTCAGTGGGGGTGGGGGAGCTGCGACCCCCACTAGCCTCTCATCTGCATGACATGGTGGCCCCTGGTGGGGGTTAATGCACAGAACCCCTGGCCTCCACGCATCTGGCCCCAGAAAACCAACATCCCTTTGCCCCACCGTTAGGACCCTGGGTGCCGTCCATCTCTTCCTCTGTTGCACAAACACTCCTCTGAAGCCACCCCACCTGTGGTTCTCTGCACTGAGAGCCCAGAGTGGCCAGGGGCAGGGAAGGAAGCCTGGAGGGGTCAAGCTCCAAAAACCAATTGGGAGCATGGGGGAGGTGCTGAGGTCAACAAAGGGCACCTACTACGTACCAGGGATTTTTTGTCAGACGTACATTATTCTATTGATTTTTCTCAATAAACTGTGGCTTAGGTACTATCATTCCTTATCTTTAAAAGATGAAAACAAGACCCAGAGAGAAGCAGGAACTTGCCTGAGATCACCCAGAGAGCTGGGAGGAAGGCCGGCGCTGGAACCAGGCTGAGCTGAACTCTGAACTGAGCCACTTACTGGCTCAAAACCCACTCAAAACCCACAGGGCCCTTCAACCCCAGGCTGCAAGTCAGCCCCAGTGATCTGCCCTGCCAAATAGAAAGGCATTCCGAAGAGATGACTGATCACCAGCCAGAGTGATACAGACACAGGTAGAAGAAAGACCAAAAGAGCAGATGGAAGAGCCATGCATACAAAACACTGACAGCTGTAGAGAAGCCCCGGGGCTGGGCACATGTACGTGAAAATCTGTATGTGAAAATGAAAATGGATCCCTACCTCACACCAAACACAAAATCAATTCCAGGTAGACTGTAACAAGGCCAAACAAAAGAACCGACCATTACAAACTTAAGAACTTCAAATCATTAAAACACCGTGACAGAAACAAGCCACAAGTCTGGAGACCTTTGCAACACATACAATGGACAAAGGATTAATAAATGAATTTTGTATAAAGCTCCTACAGAGCAGTAAGAAGACAACCTGACAGGGAGAAATGAACAAACACCTCACAGAAGAGGAAAGGCATGAGCAGGGACGCTCAACCTCACTTGCAATCCAAAAAAAAAAAAAAAAAAAAGCCACTACCATCGAGTCGATCCCGACTCACAGCGCCCCTAGAGGACCAAGAAGAACTGCCCCACAGGGTCTCCAAGGCTGTAATCTTTACAGAAGCAAACTGCCACATCTGTCTCCCACAGAGTGGCTGGTGGGTTTGAACCACTGACCTTTCTGTTAGCAGTGCCATCAGATTTCCTTCCATTTGTAATCAGGGGAATGCAACTCAAAACCAGAGAGATGGAAATATTCTAAAACTACCTGTGGGGATGGTCGCAGGTACCTGTGGATATGCTAAAAACATCAGACTGTATACATTAAATGGGTGTATTGCTTGGTATGGAGTAGTTCAGTGAAGTTCTTTACCACCACTGTGAGATAATTTTTCCCACACCTATTTGATTGGCAAAAATTAAGAAATTAGACCATACTAAGCATTGGAGAGGGAGCTGTGGTAGCGTAGTGCCTAAGGCACTTGACTGCTAACCAGAAGACTCGCAGTTCAAATGCACCAGCCACTCCTCGGAAGGAAGATAGGGCAATCTACTTCCGTAGTGATACTGCCTCGGAAATCCAAGGAGGGGTCACTATGAGCCAGGGCCAACTCCATGGCACATAACAACAAGTGTTAGAGAGGAGCCCTGGTGGCACAGTGATTAAGCGTTTGGCTGCTAACTGAAAGGTCGGTGTATGAATCCACCAAACACTCCATAAGGAAAAGATGAGGCAATCTGCTTCTGGAAAGATTTATAGCCTTGGAACCCCCTGGGGCAGTCCTACTGTCCCACAGGGTCACTGTGAGTCAGAATCAACTCTGGGCAGCGGGTTAAGTGTCAGAGGCCGAGGAATACCACTAGTGGGTGTCGGAACTGACAAGAGCCATTTTGGAAAACGATTTGGCATCAGTTTGTAAAGGTTCATGTGTCCGACAGCCCTGCCATCCACCCCCAGGCACAAGCCCAGGAGACACGCTTGCATGTGGGCACCAGAACACATGGCTGGGAACTCGTGGCGGCAGCAGTAAATGGACTAGAGACTTCTCAAATGCCCCAGAATGGATAAACCAACAAATGGTCCGCACACCGGAATACCATGCGGCAGTGAAAATGGACGGACCACAGTCCGTGTAGCAACCGATGTGAATCTTAGGAGTCATTAGCTGAGTCAAAAAGCAAGTCCTGGAACCCGTTCTTATGTCAATACGCACACACATGTACACACACCGGAACAAAAAGGTGAGAGAACAGCCAACACAAAATTCTGAACAGTGATTTCTCCTGGGGAGGCAAGGAGCAGACTCATGCACTTGATTGTATTCTAGTTTTGGAGGCCGGGTGGTGGGTTTGGGGGTTGTGATGAATCCAAGCATGAATGGGTTAGCAAACAGATAAAGCAATAAGTATTAAAAGGGTGGGGGAGGGGGAGTCAGGGGTGAGAAGAAACTGGGACAAATTTGGGTCAAATGTGAATCTGAGCACATTCCACATCTACCCTCGCCTGCTGTGTGACCTCAGGAATGTGGCTTAACCTGTCTGAGCCTCCACCTCCTCAGGTGCAAATGGAGCACCGCCCTCCCAGAATTACCCTCTGTAATCTTAAGGGGACTGTGTGGATCTGAAGGAACAGACCTCCTGGGGTTATGACAAGGCTTACATGAGAACACCCACAGCGACCAGCAAGCCCTGTGAGTGGGGGCACCTGACCCATGGACCTCCCTGACCTCGAGTGGGGGGACCCCAAAGTGGCCACGCACCAGAAGCGGGGTGTTGCCGGGGACTCTGACCCCGTCGATCAAGGTCTCCTCCTCCAGCCGGCGAAAGGTGCCCCAGGCCGGCGGGTACAGCCGCAGCGACTCCTTAAGGACCTGCAGAAGCCACAGAGAGATAACCCACCAGGTCAGGAGCTCCCTCCGTGGCCTGGCGTACGGGGCCCATCTCTGCTCCCACTTACAGTGCTGTACAGCCCCCAGGCCCTGGACCCCTAGGAGTCAGAGTGGATCCTCCTCTGGGCCTTGCTTTCCTGCCCAACCCTCAAGTGACAGGCGGGGAAACTGAGGCCCAGAAGGAGAAGGGAGCTGGGCCAGGCCACAGTGGGGGTACTGGGACCCAGGCCTCCCTCTGAACCAGGGTCGGCCACTCCAGAGAGCCGCTGAAGGGTGAAGGATGGCCATGCGTCCAGCTGACTGTGTGTGAAGCTCCCTGCTGAGCCTGGCTCCCTGGAGGGGAACTGTGGCTTGGAGCCCAGGCCCACGGGAAATGGAAATGCAGCTGTACTGACTAATGGGCTGGCTCCAAGCCCAGGTACTGGAGTGGTGCAGTGCCTAAGGCATGTAACTGCTAACCAGAAGGCTGGCGGTTCAAACCCACCAGCCAGCCACTCCTCGAAAGGAAGGTTGGGCAATCTACTTCCGTAGAGATAATGCCTTGGAAACCCAAGGAGGGGTCACTATGAGTCAGAACCGACTCGGCGGCCGTGAATTTTTTAGTTTGAGGGGACCTTACGGATGCTGCTGCCCGGGCCCCACTTTCAGCAACTCTGATGTCATGATCTGGGGTGCAGGCTGGACGACAGGAATTTTTATTTCTCCCAAGGGCCTGCCCTCTGCGGCCAAGTTTGAGGACCACAGCCCTAAAGGATACCAGCCGGCAGGAGGCCCAGAAGCTTCCTCCCATGTCCCACACCTGGGAGAGGTACTGCAGCCTCCCCAGGTCCTCACAGTCGAGGTGCCGCTTAGAACCGACGACCTCGTCCACCTCCGCCTGCAGCCTGTGGGTGAACACAAGGCAGAGTTAGGGTTCAAGGAGAACTTTACCCCACGCGCTTTAAGAGTGGGGGTGGAGGACACACAGAGAGGCCCGTCCTCGCTAACAGACACGACTGTTGGTGGGCCAGCTCCCGTCACTTCCAAGGAGAAATGCCCGAGTCACGTGCAGACATGTTCCACCACCCTTTGTGTTTGCTACAAATCTTCTGGCCGAAAGAAACAGTGCACATCACAGAACAAGGTCTGCCTGACAGCTGCCAATAGCTGGAAGCAGGAGTGGGAGCGGCACACGTGGGAGTCAGTTGAGGACAGGCCCTGGTTAGGATGATAATGCCGCATGAAGCACTCATTCGGTCGATAATTGCTGACGTTGGGTCATGGGTGCATGGGAGTTTATCGTATTCTTCTTCCCACTGTGCTGTGTGTTTGAAAGTTTCCATAATAAAACACTGAGAAAAACCAGCGGCTTTGGTTCTCTAAAGACGGCAGACAACTGGCCAATCAGATGCTCAGATCACTCATTGCTAAGAAAACGCAGTCACAGCCACGAGGAGGCACCACTCCACACCCCCGGGTGGCTGCTCAAAGAGACCAGACAGTAACTAGCGGGGATGCGAAGGCAGAGAAACTGCTAGAAGGCTTAAAGTGGGGGTGCGGCACTGTGGGAAGGGTTTGGCGGGTTCTCAAAGAGTTAAACGCTGGATTGCCACGTGACCTGGTGAGTCTGCTCCGAGCGACACACCTAAAATAACTGAAATCAGGAGTCGAAGCAAAAACTTGTCCATGAACGTTCTAGTGATATCACTCACAACAGCCAAGATGCGGAAACAACCTGAGTGTCCAACACATGATAGATGCACACACTGGCATCCATGCACCACACAACATTACTCAGCCATGAAAAGAATGACATTCTAATACACGCTAACAACATAGAAGGACATCATGCTTGGTAAAGTAGGGGGTCAGTGAAAAAGGGGAAGACCCTAGACGAGAGGACTGACACAGTGGCTGTAACGACGGGCTCAGCATAGCAAGGACTGTGAGGCTGGCACGGGACTGGCCAGTGTTTCGTCCTGTTGTCCGTAAGATGGCAGTGAGTCAGCGTCGACTCGACGGCACCTGACACTACCACCACCACCACGCATGAACCTTGAAAACACGCTACGTGAAATGCCAGACGCCAAAGGGCAGATAGTGTGGGAGTCCACTTACACAAAGTGTCTAGGACAGATTAATAGGGACAGAAAGTGGGTGAGATGTTGCTGGGCTGGGAGAGGGGAGGGCAGTTCTTGCTTCCAGGTTTCTGTTGGCGGGGATGGAAAACGTTTGGAAACAGATCATGAAGAGTGTGAATTAATGCTAGTGAACCCTACACTTAAATGTGCTTAAAACAGCACAGGTTATGCTGTTGTTTCTTGTTACGTACTTAATCACAACATTGGGAAAGGGATTTGGAAAGCTGGTCCTGCGATGTGGTGTTGTGAACAGAAGCTACGGGGCAGTCAGATGTCCGCTGACATGACCAGTGTAACAAGCAGCACAGACAGGGAATACCTCTGGTGGCGGGGGCATCGTGGGTGGTTTTAAAAAATTATTATTTTAACTTTCCTGCCTAGTTGAAAAATCTGTATAAAAGGCATATTACTAGTGCATTTAAAATAAAACCCCACGAACTATTTTATGCTGTCCTGTACGCTTCCATGGCTGCCCTTTGATGCATGGTGGCTAACAGGTATCATCAAGGGCCTCTCCCCACCGCCAGGGCTGCTGCCCCCCAAGTCGGCTCATTTTCAGAGTGCCGGGTGACCCAGGCAGCAGCCTGGCAGGGGAACCGCTCTCCATTCGTTTTGTATTTCAGTAAACCGAGGGTCCCCTTCAGTGCCAGCTCCCCAGGGATGCCCTCCTTTGTCTTTCAGCTGCAGGCTCAAACCCCCACCCCTCTTTATGCGAGACTGTCGGTTCTCTGTGCCAGCTCCTGGCCTGGCACTGCGTCCACCCTCCTGGAACTTCCAGTCTCACGGCTGATACAGACTCAGGGCACACAGTCCCAAGAGAAAATTCGAACGTGCTGGGCTGAGGTAAGAGGGCAAGCACATCGAGGGGACTTTAAGGGTCAGAGAAGGCTTCTCCGGAGGAGGAGGAAGGGGAGGAGGGCAGGGAGGAGTTTCAGGGCAACAGCACATGCCAAGGCCCGGGGTGAAGGGAGCAGGAACATCTGAAGGGTCTGCCACAGGCCTGAGGCAGGCGGCCCTCTGAGATCATGACACCAGACAGACCCTTTTGCCAACCACAAGGCTGCCCGTACCTCGCTACAATCTCAGGCTGACGTGACAGCTCCATCACTGTGAATGCCAAGTGGTTGGCAGAGGTCTCGTGACCTGCAGGAGAAGACAGGCAGCTCCACACGGGGGCCGGGGGCTGCATCCCCTAAGGTCAGGGCTAGAAGGGGCCAGAGCCGCCGTTTCTGCAAAGCTCTGAGCCCTTGTCACCACCGAAGCCACCAACCGGCAATGAAGAAAGTGACGAAGTTGTCCAGCAGGATCTCGTCGTCCTGGGCGTCCTCTTCGGCTGAAAGACGAAGCAGCCGCTAGGGTCCCTGCAGCAGACGGCGGTGACCCGCACGGCCCTGGCGCCCTTTCCCCACAACTCAGGAAGGAGCCAAGTGCCCCTCCGTCTTCAGACCAGACGAGAGACAACCAGTCAGCTGTGGTCACCGACCTCCCAGGGACCGCCCCTCGCCAGCTGGGGGAGGCCCGTACCTTTGAGGATCTGCGTGAGGATGTCCGCAGGGACGTCCTCGCCCCTCTTCAGGGCCTCCCGGCGACGCTGCACCCAGTCCTTGCCAACCTGGCGCAGAAAGCGGATGCTCTCCCGGATCTCACGCAGCTGCTTCCGCCTCCCTGGTAGGAACTAAACAGGGCTTCCATCACGGATGGCTGACAAATACATGCCTCCCCTCCTCCCCCATTCCAAAAGGACTGCAGAAATCCACAGCAGTCCTGGGGGCTGGGGGGTTGGAAACACGCGAGAAAGTTCCAGAAGAGAGGCAGCAGCCAGGGAGGCTAGATCAGGATGGAGGTCTGAACCCACGCACCAGCCTCCCCTTCTACATCGAATCCCCAGACGTGACGGGAAGGTGCCTTAGACATCTCCATGTCGTGGCGGAAAATTAGAAGGGAGCCCTGAAGGAGGAGTGCAGTTGGAATATCGTGGAAGATACCGGCAGAGTGAGGGGACCAGCTGCCAGAGTGACCAGGATGGCTCAGGACGACTGCAAGTTCACAGGCTGAGGACCAAGGGAACAGGAAGGGAAGCGACGCATCATCACCCTGGGCACCACTTTCCCCCTTTCTCCCTTATTTACGCCTGGAACAGAGGTCGAAGCTGGAGCTTCAGCAGCCATTATACTGCAATGAAGTGATGTGGACACAAAAATCCAGGGGCATCTGACATCGTGCAGCCACCCCAGATCATCTGCTTGAGGACCGTGTTATAGGCAGAAAGATGAACTCCTAATTCACTTAAGCCACTTTCGTATTGAGCCTCTGCTTCAGGAGAATGCAAACCCTAAATGACTCAGAGGGTGAAGGACGTCACTTCAGATAGGCCAGAGCTCAAAACTAGTTCTGAGAAAAGCACTAAAGGAGGTACTCCTGCAAGACAGCACATGCTGCAGGGGCTGGTCACCAGAGGCGGGGCTGGCGCGTTACCTTTGCCAGGGTGTTGCGGGACGCGGTAATGCCCTCCAACATCACTCTCACTGCCCGAGGCAGAGGCTTCTGGGCATCCAGCAGCATGCTGGTCTCCATCCCGAAAGCTGCCTGGAGAAGAGAGATGAGGCAGCTCATGCCTACGGGACGGGAGGCCAGCCTTTCCAGAGAAGAGCCTGGCACCGGGCAGCTGGAGACCCAGGCCCCGGGCTAAGGTTTACAAGCATCATCTTACCACCTACTACAATGACCCATGTTGATTCCAGTGCCATGGGGTGTTGTGAGAATCAAGAGCATGCAGTGGCTACTTTAGAGAGTCTGGTTTTCTTCCTTGACCAGACGTATTGTTCCCGGGTGCAGCCTTGCCTGGGAGTCCATTCTGCTCCCAGCTGCACCATGAACTGTTTGATGAGCAACAATGGCAGTAATGTTGCTTCACTCACTGTCCCCACACTTCAGTTGCCTGATTTGCCTGTGCAGGGTCTGGGACCATCTGGGCCACTTCTGAGTCAGCCAGGGTGGACAACCAAACCATAGCCAAATAGGGGGAGAGGCAGGCTTTGACACTGAGTCCTGCTTCTGCCATTAACTATCTGCAGGCCAGCTTCTCTGCCTCTCAGTGTCCATTTCCAGAAAATCAATTCATAGCCCTGATCTCACTTAGGTTGCTTTAAATTCGCTCAGCCCATGCCATCAGTCGATTTCAACTCATTGTGACCCACACTGGGTTTCCAAGGCGGGAAATCTTTATGGAAGTAGATTGCCCCATCTTCCTTCCACAGAGCAGCTGGTGGGTTTGAACCGCCAACCTTCTGGTTAGCAGCCAAATCCTTAGGCACTGTGCCACCTGAGCTCCTTTTGAATATTTGAGGAGATAAAATATACGAAGTCCCAGCACAGAGAAAGGGCCGCGGGTACGTGGAGGAGCAGGAGGAAAGGAGGACAGCAAGGAAGAGGGACAGCAGACCCTCAGCCCCTGGGGCGTCCCACCTCCAGCCGTCCACCATCACCTTGGCCAGGATGTCCATGGCGGTGCAGGTCAGCATGTCCTGCATGGACACTGGGGTCTGCCCGTCCGCCTTGGCTTCCAGAATCTCCAGCAGCTGCTCGGCCTTCTCGTTGAATGTTTCCATCAAGCTAACCAAAGAGCTGGAGCACAGCAGAGAGGTCAGTGGGACTGCAGGATGTCAGTGCCCCCCGGGATGAGCCCCGTCCTGCGGGCTGCCTGCCACCCTCCCCTCTGAAGAGAAGATTTGCACACCTTGTACAGAGTGAAGGTGGGTGCCTGGTTCACCGTGAGGCCCAGCCTGCAGGTCAGGGCTGCAATAACCGAGCTCAGGCCGGGTTTGCACAGGCTCCTCCACTTAGAACACACTCCCTTTGCCCTCGTCTTTCTGGTTCACAGGGCCTCTGTCTAACAGCAGCCCCTGAACCCCGACCTCTGGGGGATGTGGCAGCGTGGACACTCCAGGTGACAGTGGGAAGGAACAGAGGAAAAGCCTCTGGGGCTTTCTAGGACAGAGAAGGCACCCCAGGGCCCCTTCTACCTCTCAGCTGGCGCTGCCCATTCTCCTTACCTGCTCTGCCCCAGACCCCCACCAGCAGCCCATGTTCCCCCATTTCACTCCCTCTCCTTGGGCAATCCCTAAAAATGAGTCCTCAGACACCATCTGCAGCCCAGAGCTCCCAATCCGCAGTGCCCCCTCCCCCAGACAGTGACTTCAGGTTGTCTCCCAGGCATAGAGCTTATTTAGAAAGGGGTATGGCAGGATGCACTCCAAACTCATTAAAATGGTAGCCCCAAAGTGGCAGGGAAGGGGAGAGATGGTTACTTTATACGATAAGCATTTCTAGATTTTCTGAATTTTCCCTAAGAGAATATGCTGCTTTTGTAATTTAAAGTAATTTTTAATGTTAATCATCTGTGCAAAGGGGGTATGGTGTTCTTTGTCTTTCTTTTTCTTGCAACTCCTCTGTAAATTGGAAGTTATTTCCAAATAAAAAGCCTTTTTTAAAAATTAAAAACAAAAAATTGGGAGAAGAGGAAGGACAAAGCCTAAGTTTTTAAATTAGGAAAGAAAACCAGCCCTTCTCTGTCAGTTCGCCAGGCCTGCTCTGGCCCCCGGGCTCAGACTGGCCTCCTTGCCCGCTGCCCCACCCCCGCCCCCGCCCCGCCCCGGCGCACACCCGCTGCACATCTCATCCTGTGGCCCAGGGTGTTCTGAAAGCACCTGATCCTGTGACCCCTCTCCACCTCAAAACACTCTGAAGAGCCCAGCCACTCCAAGAAGAGGGGAAATTCTAACTTTGGCCTCAGGCAGGGCTGGTCCCCTGCTGACCCCGACCTGCAACACTGCCTGCCTGTTACACCACCTTTTCACTTCTCCAAAGCTCCCTGCTCCTTCCCACCTCGGGGCCATTGCCTGGACCACCCTTCCCTCCCACCGTCCATCCTCCTATGTCCCTGTTAACCATCATGACTCCTGCGCACTCTGCAGATACAGGCTTCCTTGTGGCCCTGTCTCCTGAAGCCCAGGTGGCCTGATATATGCTTCCCATAGCACCCTCAACTTTTTCTTCATGCCACACACGTGGTTTCCAGTTACATCTATCTTTGTAAGATTATATGTGGTGGTTGTTGTTTAAATAACATTCAGATTGACTATCTGCCTTACATGTGCCCATTTATTATACAAACGCCACACTGAGTGTGGAATGGCACCAAATGGTAATATTTCTTTACCATCTAACACTGAAGCTCTTACAGCTTGGTTGGGCTGCAGTGGTAGCTGTACAGTAAAACCCCAACCTTCTTGTCTTTTATAGGAAGAATTGGGACCAGGATCTTTAGGTAAAAGTAATATCTAGAAAGTGGGAACTGGCATGTTATAAACACATAGTGAGGTTCTGTGTGGGTGCCAGCAGCGCTGAACCTCACCAGCGGCCCTACCTTTGCTTCATTAGTGAATTAGGACCCACCCGGGCTCAACAACAATTCATCAGTACTTACAATCATCTTCCAAAGCACTTTTTCTACCATTTTGTGAATTTTGCATTTCCGATTAAATAAGCATTTCTAAGATGACTACCTTGTTGTGAGACTGGAAGATAAAAACGTGTGTGAAGGACCGAACAACTCCAGTGCTATGCAGACGCACAGTCCCACACGCTGGAAAGGGCTCACCAAGACAGTGCTGCTGGAATTCATGGCATAACCTCTCCTAACCTCAAAGCTTCCCAAGGAAGAGGGACTACAGCGGCTTGGATGGCCTTTGTAAGCCTGGCTCTTGGCACAATAACTATGAACTAAATGCCTCTCTTCAGTCTGTTCCTTCCCCTTCTCACTTCCAGCAACTTTCCAGTTAGACCAAGATCATTCCAATTCCTTAATACACTCATGCATTCATTCAGTCTACAGACCATCCTGGAGGGCCTACAGGGTACCCGACGCTGTGCTGGGTGCAAGGGCCCAGGGACAGGGCACGTCTTCTTCCCTCAAGGACCCATGGCCTGACAGGGGAGGCAGATGTGACTGGCAACTGCTGCAGTGGATGTAGGAGGAGCAGGGTGGGAGCACAGACCAAGCCTGAGGATCAGGGAACACTTCCCTGAAGCAGAGACATCCGAGCTGGGTATGAAAGAGGAACAGCTTCCTCAGAGGGGCATGTTAGGCGAGGGAATGATGCAAGCAAAGGCAGAAATTCCAGAAAGAGAGCAGTGGGTCAAGAAGGGTGGGAAGATGATACAAAGGCTGGGGGCTCACAGGGCAGGTTTAGGGCAGCTGGGATCTGACCTCAGAAGACAGGAATCCAGTGAAGGCTTCAGGGTAGGTCTGAGTTTTAGCAAGCCCTCTCCAGGGCACTGGAGGAGGAAGACAGAAGGCATGGGGGCCAGTGAGGAGGCAGCAGCAAAAGTTCAGGCAAGGATATTTACATGGTCTGCTCACAGGTGACATATGAAATGGTGACTTCACAGTGGAGAAACCAGGCAGACAGCACCTCAATGAAGTGATCAAAGTGAACGTCTCCAGAACTAAGACAGATACGTATCAGGGACCTACCAACATCATGCACGAGAAGAACACATCACATCTCCGATATTCCCACCAAAAACTCAAACACAAACTCAGATGGAAGGACAGTCTGCAAAACTGGTCTGCAATCTTCAAAAGAACCCAGGTCACAAAAGTCAAGGAAAGACTGGCAACTGTTCTAGAATGAAGGAGACAAAAGAGACCTTGCAACTAAGTGTCACATGTGATCCTGGACCAGGAAAATAATGGTTATTAAAAAGCAACTAGAACATGTGCTGTGGACCAACAAATCAAACCAAACTCACTGCCGTTGAGTCGTTTCCAACTCATAGCAACCCCTCCTTGGGTTTCTGAGATGGTATCATTACAGAAGTAGATTGCCCAACCTTCCTTCCAAGGAGTGGCTGGTGGGTTTGAACCACCAGCCTTCTGGTTAGCAGCCGAATGCCTTAGGCACTATGCCACCAGAGCTCCCATGCTATGGGTTAGATCACAGTATTGGATCTGTGGTACACGTTACGTTCCCTGATTCTGATAACAGAACTGAAGTTATGTGAGAGAATGTCCTTGGCCTCAGAGAGTAACACAGAAAACTTATAGGATGAGAGAGTATAATGTCTCCATCTTACTCTCAAGTGGTTAAAAAATATGCCCTATATAAAAATACAGCCTTCAGCATAGATTATATCTCAACATAAAGAAACGAAAATCCTCACAACTGGGCCAATAAGCAACATCATGATAAACAGAGAAAAGGCTGAAGTTGTCAAAGATTTCATTTTACTTGGATCCATAATCAAAATCCATGGAAGCAGCAGTGAAGAAATGTCGTATTGTACTGTGCAAAGATGCTGAAAGAGACCTCTTCAAAGTGTTGAAGAGCAAAGATGTCACTTTGAAGACCAAAGTGCCCTTAAGCCAAGCCATAGTATTTTTAATTGCCGCATATGCCTGTGAGAGCTGGACATTGAATAAGGAAGACTGAAGAAGAGTGGATGCCTTTGAATGGTCGTGGTGTTGAAGGATACTGAAAGTACCAGAGACCACCAGAAGAACGAACAAATCTGTGCTGGAAGAAGTGCAGCCAGAATGCTCCTTGGAAGCGAGAGTGGCCAGGCTTCGTCTCCCTACTTTAGTCATGTTGTCAGAAGGGACCAGTCCCTGGAGAAGGATGTCATGGTTGATAAAGTAGAGGGTCAGCGAAAACAGGGAAGGCCCTCAACGAGATGAACAGACACAGTGGCTGCAGCATTGGGCTCAGGTATAGCAAGCACCATGAGCCTACTGCACAGCCAGGCAGGGTCCTTCTGTTGTACAGGGAATGGCTGTGTGAGTCGGAGCTGACAACTACAACAATACATATAAAAGTATATGTACAAACACACACACAGAGGATAAATACATTCACAGACACATGTCGAGAGAGAACAAACAGTACAGCAAATGGAGAAAATGTAACCATCAGTCAAATCCGAGTAAAGGGTGCGTGAGAGTCCCTTGTAATATTAAGACTTTCTTTCTATAAATTTGAAATTATACCAAAATAAAACATGACCTTCATCAAAAAGTTAAATACAGTTATCCTATGACCTGGTAATTCTACTCCTAGGTGTGTATCTACAACAAATGGAAACACACGTTCAGGCAAAAACTTAACACACCACTGTTCGCGGCAACAGTATTTATAACAGCCAGACGTCCAGCAGCTGATGAGTGGATTATGTGGTCTGCCCATACAAGAGAGTATTGCTCAGCCAGGAAAAGGAATGAAGTACTGACGCATGCTACACGATGGATGAGCTTTGAAAACGTTACACCAAGTAAGACGAGGAACTAACAAAAGCCACACCCTGATTCCATGTGTGTGAAATGCCCAGAGGAGACCAATGCAGACAGAAAGCAGAGCAGCAGTTTCCAACGCCTGGGGGTGATGAGGGCGGGGGGTGGGGAGCGACTGGGAGCAGGTGCAAGGTTTCTTTCTAGGGTGATGAAAATGTTCTAAAATTACGGTGATGGTCACACACCTCTGTAAACATACTACAGGCTACTGAACTGTACAAATTATATGTGAACCGCATCTCAGTGACGCTGTTAAAATTGAAGCAAGAATAAACTGTTACCAGAAGCTAAGTATGAAGCCCAGATGAGGAGAGAGGCCTGAGTGGAGGGACCTGGAGGACAGAGGCCCCCACACCTTGGACCTTCACAGAAACTCAGCCTGGAGGCTTGCAAGCCACATGGGGGGGGGGGTCTCTGTCAGCCTCATGTCCCAGTGGGACACCTGTCCGCCCCCTCTTCCCTCTCTCCTTTTGTCCTAGTGAGACCCTCAGATGAGGGCACCCCTTCCCCAGGTCCTCTTCCAGGCAGCCCACACCCCCTCTGCCCAGCCAAGCCCCGCGGTGCCCGTCCACGTCCACACACACCCAGGCCCTCCTCCAGGCAGCCCCACACCCCCTCTGCCCAGCCAAGCCCCGCAGTGCCCGTCTGCAGCCATGCTCACCTGGGTCCTCCTCCAGGCAGCCCACACCCCCTCTGCCCAGCCAAGCCCCGTGGTGCCTGTCCACACCCACACCTACCTCCGGCTGAAGGCCAGGTCCATGACTCTGCGCTGTTTATGCCAACGTTCATAATTGCACTCGGACACTAGGCCCTGGCCAAAGAGTCTGTGGAGACAAAACACTTGATGCAGGATGCCAGGCAGAGGGGGTGACTGCAAATGGGCCTGGGGCTCCCTTTTGGGGTGACCAGACAGTGGTGAGGGCTGCGTGACCTTGTGTGTGCACTGAATGCCGCAGGATTGTACACTTGGAAAATGGCTAGAAAGATGAGTGTGATGTGATGTAAACTTTACCACAATAACGGGAGAAAAGGACACAGGGTGACTATATGCCCCCACTAGCCTCCCGAGGGGCAGGTGGAGGAGGAAGGAGATGAGAAGAATGAGGACCATTTACAAGGCACCTGTGGTGCCCTTGGGCATCCTGCTGCACCCCACATTCAGGGCTTTCCCCATCCTCCCCTCAGACCCATCACCAGGCACCTCACCTCTCACCAAACACAGTCTGGATGGCCCGGTACATCTTGAAGTCTTTGTTGTACTTGGTTGACATCAGGAACTTCTAAATACCATCCCCCACAAGACAAAAAAAAAAAAAAACAACCATGAGCTCACGTACTGGGCAGACGCAGCAGTTTTCATGGCTCGGGCAAAACGTGCCCCAGATAATCACCGTTTGCTAAGTTCTGGCTGTGTGGGCACTTCATGCACAGAATTTCACTCAGCTCTCAGCCACTGGTGAGGAATCTGCCTTCAAGTAATACCACTGTGGGTTTTAGATAGGTAAGTGAGGTACAGAGGGCTGAAGCGGGATCTCCCACTCCAAAGCCACACCTGGGACCCTACACCACACCACCTTCTGAAGCAGTGAGAACAGGACATCGGAGTGGGGGAGGGAGAAGCCCAGAGGAAGGATATCTGGGATATAGGAGCATCCTAAGTGCCCACCCAGCCTTGGAAATCATAGAGGACTTTCTGGAGGAAGGGTCAACTTGCCATCCTGACAGATGGATGGTAGCAGTGCCAATGCCTAACAGCTTCTGAGGCAACACTGCCCAGTGGTCAGCAGCGTGGACTATGGAGCCACACAGCTCGAATCCAAATGCAGGCTCAGAATCCTTGCTCCATCATTTGGTAAATACCTAGCCTTGGGTGACAGACTCTCCTCATCTGCCCCTCAGTGTCCCCATCATACCAGATGAACCCCTGCCTGGGTAGTGACGCCGTGAAGAGTGACTCAGCTGTGCGTGGCAGGTGCCGGGAACAGGGCCTGGTACATAGCAGGTGCTCAACAGGGGCACGTCATCATGTCTCATTCAACGCAGTCAACCCCACGTGTGAGCACCACTCAAAACACGACCCGAGACCACATGCAGGGTCAACAGTGCACGCGGGAACTAATCCAAGCACTCGGATGGGATGGAGCCGGACCAGACGGCTGTGCTCTGGGCGAGGGGAACAGGGCAGGGGGGACATCATGATATCATGGTTGGTATTCCTCAAAGAAATAAAATAAACGTCATTGATCACTCAGCAATGTGAAAGTCACGATGTCCAGCACCCAATAAAAAAACCACTAAACGTGCCAAGAGGCAGGCGGATCTGACCATAACCAGACGCAGAAATAATGGAGGTGACAGAAGTGGCAGCCAGGAACTCTAGGGCACCCACTGTACGCGTTATAAACACGCGCAGGTTTAGGAAAACGGGAGCATCAACCTGCATGTCCAGAAGTTCAAGAATCCCAGACAGATTTAAGACAAAGATGACACCAAGGCGGATCGGAATCAAAGCGCTGAAAACAACAATAAAGAGGAAACCTTAAAAGCAAACAGAAAGAAGATGCAGTGTGTGTGGAGGAACAAAGATAAGAATGAGTACAGACTTCCCATCAGAACACGCAAGCCAGCAGCTGGGGCAGCAGCGTCTTCAAGTGTTACAGAGAAATCCGAAAATCAACCTGAGCCTGTACACCAAATAAAGACACTTAAAAAAAATGTGCAAGGGAGACTTTTCCAGACAAACAAAAGCTGAGAAAGTTCGCTGCCAGGAGATCTGCACTGTAAGAAATACAGGACGTTTCTCAGGGAGAATAAAATGATACCAGATGCAATTGAGGAGTTACACACACACACACACTGAAAAATGCCAGGAACGGGAACTATATGGCTAAATAGCAAAACTATTTTTAAACTATTTTACTTCATGTGAAAGGTAATTGACTATTTAAAACAAAAATAATAACGAATTGTGGAAGGTTATATGTAAAGTAAGTAAAATGTCTGGGAAGAACAGCACAGGGGCAGGAAGGAGAATGGTGAGGATGCTGCTGTAAGGATCTCACGTTCCACAGAAAGTGAACTAAGACTGAAGACAGCTGGGGCAGTTGAGAGAGACAGAGAGGACTAATGACTCATTAATGGAGACCAGATAGAAAAATGCTCAACCCGAAGAAGTCAAGGAGGAGGGAAGGGAACAAAGAACAGAAGGATGATAAGGAAACAAGTAGCAGCCTGACGGGTTGAATCCTGACCGTACCAACAACCACACTACATGTGAATGAGCCAAGCACTGGAGTTAAAAGGCAGAGATGTCAGACTGGATCAAAAGCAAGACCCAGCTGTGTGCTCTCTGTAAGACGGCCACTTTAAATGGAGTAACACAGCAAAGGGTGGGCAAGGCAGACCATGCAAACACTAAGAATGAGCACACTGCAACGGCTACATTTGTACCAGGGAGAACACACTTCAGAGCAAGGAATACAGTCAGGGATGAAGAGGAGAATTCATTACGAAGACTTAACAAGCCTAGACGTGTGTGCAGAGCCCCAGAACGCAGGAAGCACAACAGATAAAACGGAAAGGAGAAACAGACAAATTCACAACTGTGGTTGGTTACTGGTTGGAGAGTTCAGTATTCCCCTCCCAGTGACTGACACAAGTCGTCTGAAAATCAGTGAGGGATTGAGAAGACTTGAGTAACACTGTTAACAAGTTGACTTGAATTATAAATGCCAGCATCCCTTTCCCTGATGACAAAATGCATATTCCTTTTACATGGTCATGGACATTCACCAAGATAGACTACATGCTAGGCCATAAAACAAATGTCTATCCATTGAAAACATTTAAAACCACGAAGACTATATCCTCCAACCTTAACAAATTACATTAGAAATCATTTACAGATAGACTATGGAAAATCCCGTAATATTTAGAAACTGAAAAATACTTTTAAATCATTCATGGTTCAAAGAGGAAATCACCAGAGAAACTGGAATATATTTTGCACTGAATGAAAATTAAAGCTCAGCACCTCCAAATCCGTGCGGAGCACAGCGGGAACACGCGTGGCTTCCAGTGCTTCTATCAGAAAATAAAGAAGGTCAAAGTGAAGAACTGAGATTCTCTCCTCAGGAAACGAGCAGAACAACCCATGTCCAAAGGGACACAGGAAAGAAAGAAGAAAGGTGAGGGCAGGAGTCAGTCAAACGGAAGCGACAGAGAAAAATCAGTGAAGCCAAAACTGCTCGTTCTTTACAAAGATAAATGGAATCAATAACTTGCCAGCCCGATCCCAACAAGAGAAAACTCAAATGACGATTCTTCAGAAGGAAGAGGGGTACTCATTATAGACTCCGCAGACATTAAAATACAGCTTTAGGCCAATCATTTCAACAATTTTGATGAAATGGACAAATTCCCTGAAAGACGCAAATCACCAAAACTAAAAAAGAAAAGAAAATCCGAATGGCCTTCTATCAATCAAACCAACTGAATGTTTAATAAAAATAAACAAACCAAAAGAACCACTTCCTTCAAAGACACCTATAAGCTCAGATGGCTTCACTGGCGAATTCCATCAAACTTTTAAGAAAAAGACAACCGCAACAGAAAAGGAGGAAAGAATACTTCCTGGCATTTTAGGAGCCACAGTTAACCTGCTAACAAAACCGGGCAGAGGGCACTTGTTACGAGAACAGACTGAACATCGGAACAAAAATCCTTCACAGAGTATAGCAAAGTGGATGCAGCAATTTTATAAAAAAGAGAACACATCATGATGAGGATGCAAAGTTGACGTAACCTTTGAATATCAGCCAAAGTAACTCGCCACATTACCATACAGCTTTATGCTTCTTTGTTCCATTAAGCATCATGAAAGTCCTCTTGCATGCCTTGGTAGCATGCTTTAAGTCTTAAGTTGTCTTGATGTTTAAAATTAAATTTAAAAATGATTTTTAGCATTCTGTTTGAGACACCATGGGTGTTCCACCTCTCTCCTGACCTGGACTCTGAGTTACGCCGTATCCCTCTCAGTGCCACCACTCCCACCCCCCACACAGGGAAGGCAGAGTCCCCACCGTGAAACTAACAGCCCCACCATTTCGTGGGTGATCTACGGTTGTGTGCCAGGCCCTGGGCTAGCTGCCCACATTACTTTGGTTCTGTTCTTAAGTGGCATCACCCCACTTCCAGATGAGGAAACTGAGGTTTAGAGTGGTGAAGGAAGTTGCCCAAGGTCCCAGTCCGTTGGTGGCTGAGATCAATTTGAGCCCAGTTCTGCCAACTCCAAAATGATCTGATGACAACCATGCTTAGTACCTGTGTGGCAGACACCATCCTGCATGCTTTACACCCATTAATGCCACCCCCTGCCCCCAACAGACTGTGCAGCGCAGTGGGTAAGAGCACAGCCCTTGGGGCCAAGCTGCCTGGGTTCAATTCATATCCCACTTTCTCTCTTTGTACCTTGGCTTTCTCATTCTTAAGATGGAAGCTAATAATAGTTTCCACCCCAGGAGGATTCAATAGGCTAACGCTGAGACATACATAAAACAATCCATGGACCACAGTAAGCACTATTTAAGTACCTAGTTGTTAAATAAGTCTATCGATATTTGATTCTCAGCATAGTCCTGGGAGGTAAGGACTACACTTCCTATCTCACAGGTGAGGTACTGAGGCCCAGACAGGTAAACTGAAGGTGTCCAGTGGTGGGGCAGGAACCCCAGCCCAGAGGGTCTGACACTGAAGCCCCACAGCGGACAGCTGTTTGCAGATGCCCCCAGTGGTGGTGGGGAGACAAAGATGCCACGCCCTCCTGGATCCTTGGGAAGCCAGTTGAGAGTATTCCCTCCCCCGCCAGCTCCTGGGGCCACCTCCTGGGTGGGACGGGACCTCCCACAGAAACCAGTCTGCTTCCTACCTTGACCGACTCAGGACTTGTGACAATGACCGAGGTTTTGTGGAACACGTTGACTCGCACCACGGGTCCATACTTCTTAGTCCTGGAAACCAAAGTCACCCAAACGAGGCTGTCAACACCCCATGACGAGAACATCAGCTGCCCAGGCCCAGTCAGAGACCTGGAAGCATCATACCCCAGGAGGGGCTTAACACAGGCCACCGGGGCCACCCCAGGAGGCCCAAGGAGGAGTCACAGCTGAGTGACACCCCCACTCGGCCTCCACGTCCATGCGACGGGGTTGCCACATCCCTCCTCCGATTGCCCCAAATCAAACAGCATCATAGCTGTGAAAGTGCTTTGCAAGAGGGAAGCACTAGCCAAACAGTGGCTGTCGTCTCATCACACACCCGGCCCAGCTGACAGGAGGGAAACTGAAGCTCCGAGAACTTCAGATGGCCGGCTAAAGGTCACTTGGCTGGTGAACGGCTGAGCTGGGCTTCAGAACCTACTCTCAGGGGGAGGAGCTGCTGGGCTAGGGAGGCCCTGGACGGGCAGGGGTGCGGGTACTGCACGCAGGGGACCCAGCATACTGGCAACAAATGACAAGTTGGAACCCACCAGTCCAAAAACACATCTTGCAGCGTGCGGCCACAAACCTCATCCTTTTTCCAAAAGTAGGGGAGGTGTCCTAGAAGGAAACTAGGAAAAACAGGAAATGTTAGCATCACCAGACGTCACTGTCACAGAGCATCCCTTCTCCACAGACCCCAACGAGGTCGGTGCTAGGAGGCCCACTTCAGGTGGGGAAACTGAGGCACGGGCCAGTGTGCACTGACTCAGGGGCACAGCCAGTAAGAAAAGGAGCCAAGACTCAAACCCAAGTCTGACAGACTCCAAAGGCCTCTCCGGGGAGGAGCCCTTTTCTTCCTTTATCTCCCCCACACAGAGGTCAGGGGCCAGCACGTGAGACCAGACACGCCGAGCCTGCCGCTGCTGACAGGCCTGCTCACGCAGCTGCCCCACACGGAGGTCAGGGGCCAGCACGTGATCTTTATGGACAGGGGTCACTAGACCCTTCTTCCTCAGCACTGCTGGGTGGGGTCACAGCACCAACCTTCAGGTTAGCAGCTGAGCACAAACCACACGAGGTCTTTCAGCATATGGAAAGGGTGTCATATACACTGAATTAATGACCCTGAGGAATTCAGTCAGCGCCTACTATGTGCCAGCCCCATGTTCAGCCTCCCCACACCTAGCCCCCACCATATCAGCTGGCAGGACATCTGCGATTAACCACGTGCTACAGAAAGGGCAAAGATGTCACTCTGAGGACTAAGGTGTGCCTGACCCAAGCCATGCTATTTTCAATTGCCTCAGATACACGAGAAAGCTGGACAACGAATCAGGAAGAACCGATGCCTCTCAGTCATGGCGTTGGCAAAGAATCCTGACTATCGCATGGGTGCCGAAGAACAAACACATCTGTGTTGGAAGAAGCACAGCCGGAGGGCTCCTTAGAAGCGAGGGTGGCAAGACTCCGTCCCATGAACTTGGAACATGTGATCAGTCCCTGGAGAAGCATATCATGCTTGGTAAAGGAGAGGGTCGTGACAAAGAAGTCCAACCGAGAGGGACCGACAGTGGCTGCAATGGCGGGCTCCAGCAAGCCTAGCCACCACTGGGAAGCTGGCCAGGACCAGGCAGTGTTTCGTTCCAGCACACGCAGGGCTGCTGTGAGTCAGGGCAGAATAGACGGCGCCCAACAACACAGGGAGGGCGGCCAAGGCCGAGAGGTGCAGTCACTTGCCCACAGGTGGCATCAGATGCCCCAAAGTCCTTCTCGCCGGGGCACGGTACGGTGCTGCTGTGTCTTTAGAGTGAGTACTGGGTGGCAGTAGACCAGCGTGTCTGGGGCCACCATGGCATTTCAAGGCCCATGGCCTCCTGTCCCCTGCATGACTTCATGCCAGCCAAGTGCCCTGCTCACCAGAATGGGTGACAAGAAGACTGCACTCTGTGCTGTCTGGGTCATGGAACACACATTCTGCTGGGCGGAGACAGAGATTCGCAAAGACGTAAGTAAACAGATGCAGCGTCTGAGCGCGACAGAAAACCAGAACCGCGGACAGCGACGGAGAGGGTTGGGAAGAGTGTGGGCAGGGCAGGGCAGGGCCGCCCGGCAAGAAGGAGCAACGTGGCCATGCAGGGGTCTGGGGGAAGAGCATTCCGGGCCCCGGAACAGCAGGTGTCAAGACCCTGAGGCAGGATGTGCTTGGTACGGTCACAGGGCAGCCAGTGCTGAAGCAGAGTGCTTGAGGGCCAGTGCCCACAGAGGAGGGGCTCCCCACGGGTGGGCAGGTCAGGTAGCACGAGCAGCTGCGGGAAAGGCCTTGGCTTGGAGTTCACTGAGGTGGGGCCCACTGGGGGGTTCTGAGCAGAGCAGGGGCAGGAGCTGATTCGGGTTTAAAATGGGGCTCTCTGGCTGAGAGCCAAGTGCAGGCGGGGCCCAGGCAGGGGTGGATGCAGGATCACCATTTAACGGGCCCTCGCAGTCACCCCATGAGAGGTGATGAGGGCTCAGACCAGGGTCAGGCAGTGGAGCCCGTGAGGACGAGGCAGACCCTGGATGCATTTTGAAGGTGGAACCGACAGGACTTCCTGACAGTTAGGGTGTGGGTGTGAGAGACGTCAGGGCAACCCTGAGGCTTTGGGGCAGCTGGAAGGATGAAGAGAGGTGCCCTTTATTCAGATGAGGACCGAGGAGAAGCCGGTCAGGGGCTGCTGTCCCCACCCCTTTACCTGTCTCTGCAGGTGGGCCATTACTCGCAGCTCAGCCAGGGGTGTCTGGCCCTACCCTCAGGAGCGGCGGCCCAAAGTTCCTGGACGGGAACAGCTTACAGAGCAGCCTCGACCCGGGGGGACAGCCATGAGGTGGGCCCCACATTGGCTCCAGAGGTTCCCGGGGCCCTGCAACGGGGAGTGCTGCCCACGCAGATCACTTGGTTGGCCCCCTTACCTTCCCTCCATCTCAGTCCTCCTCACCTGGGACCACTCTTACCTCAGGACGGCTTCTGGGGAAGGAGTCCGTGACAAGTGATGAGCTTGGGTTTGGACCTATCTCACCTGCTCTGCCTTTCATCACCTGAGGGACATGTCCAGCGAGCCTTGGCTACTGAAGGCGGAGCTCAGAGGCCTCCAGGCTGGAGGATCTAAGACCTTGGCGGGTGACTGCAGACACGGAAGAGGGTAAGGAAGCACTGAGCCCTGGGACCCTGGCCACTTCGGGGCAGACAGCCAAGGAGGCTGAGAAGAAAAGGCAGGGAGGTGGGAGGGGCGGCCCAGGACATGCGCGTGCGTGCGTCTGAGGCTGCAGGGGCCCGGGACGGCCAGGGGGTCCCAGGTGACCTCCAGTAAAGGCAGGTTCAGTAGACAAGCTCAACAGTGGTGGTGGGGGGCTCAAGAGAACAGGAGGGATGGAACTGGGGGCCCACAGCAGGAAGGCTTTCATGAAAGGGGCTTTACTGAAAGGGGGTTTAGGGACCTGGGACGACAGCTGGAAGGCGAGGAGCCCCGAGTTCGAAAGCTGCGCATGCTTACAGCACGTTATACAAGATGGAAGACTCCAGAAGAAAAGCAGGGCCATGAGGCAGGCGAGGGAGGACTGGCGGGCAGGCCGGCCTCGAGGCCGTGGGGTCCCGGAGCAGGGAGGGGGCCGCGGCGGAGCGGGGAGGGAGGCGCTGCTGGGCCCACGTGCTGGGGGGCTGGGGGAGGAGGAAGGGAGCGTGGGACGGGAGCCCAGGGAAGAAAGGCGCCCACGGCGGCGTGGGCGGGTGGCCTTGAAGGCACGCGGCGCCACCTGCGGAGAGCAGCTGGGGCATCACTCACTCACTCACACACACACACACACACACACACACAGGCTGTTTCCAGACCAATCTAGCGCCCTCGTGACCAAGCCCCCAAGCTGCACGTCTTGGGGGCGGGTTCTCAGTGTTGAGTCACCTGACCGGGGGCAGTCGGACGCCAGAGCTTCCGCACTAACCACTAGGGTCCACAGTCACGCGGGAAGGGAGGTGTCTACTGCAAGGCAAGAAGAGAAACTAAAA